GTGCCTTGGCAGTCTCGTGCTGGCTAAAATGTGCGCGTTCTGTGATCGGCAGATGGTTGCGAATAGCTAGGCGCGCAGCAGCATCGTGGGTCTGCCACTGGGAGCGGTCTAGAGCAGGCTCAGTGGCAGCAGGAGCAACGGCAGTGCCCGACACGTAATCAAATAGGGAAACACCGTCTTTGGCATCAGTCATGAGGAACAGTTGCAGGTCGTCAAGCCAGGTGGAAAACTCTACTGGGCGACCGTCATGATCGAACGCGAGCACGTTGAGAGTCGCCATGCGTGCAGTGTAGGCAAGTCGAGTGCGCAGGCGGCAAGGCAAAAGGTAAGCAAGGAGAGACTGCGTGCAAGGCTGCAGTGGCGGCTTACGGACTGCTGTGGCGGTGCACGGACTCCTAAGGCAGCACGGAGGGCAGCAGTGGGCCGCGCGTGTGCCTCTAAAGCGGTGCGTGGTGCAGCAACGGGCCGCACACGGGCTCCTAAGGCGGGGCACGGTGCAGCAGTAGGCCGTGCGCTGGCTCCTAAGGCGGCGCGCGGAGCAGGGGCGGGCTACACACCGGAGGAGGCGACGCAAGGGGCCGGCGGCAGGCTGCGCGGGCGGCTTAAGCGGCGCGCGGGCCGGCAGCAGGCTGCGCGAGCGGCAGATGCGGCGCGCAGGGCCTAAGCGGGCTGCGCGCGGGCGGCTTACGCGACGCGCGGGCCGGCGGCATGCTGCGCGGGCAGCTCACGTGGCGCGCGGGGCCGAAACCGGGCCTAAACGAGCCTAAACGGGCCGCGCGCGGGCTGTTTAAGTGACGCGCGCGGGCTGCTTAAGTGACGCGTGCGGGAAAAAAAATGGGGCCGCGCGCGTGCAACCGAGGCGCGCGCGGGCAGCAGGCAAGGCAGGCAGGCAAATGAGGTAATGTGGTAACGGGTGGGCCCTAATCTTAGGTCCTAAAGACCTCTAGGCTCTAGATACCATCTTAGAGTATAGGCATGAATTGGGTTTGAGTATCGAGAGAGTTTGTACAAAGGAGAAACCTAAGGGGTTGTACCCCACAGTGAGTACCCCACTAAGCCTACCCATACTATAACAGATATATATATGTTTGACACTCATGTGTTCAGTGTTGTCATCTCCACACATTTGAAACACTCGTTGTCAAAATGTTGAAACGAGTGGGTCGGACGTTGGGAAAATGACAAAAAACTGCACTGTTCATTTGAGTCGACCGAAAAGTGCTACCAAATGTATAGGGTTGCTACACAACCCAAAAATATGATAATCTAAAAAATATGCCATTTGTTTTAGAGATTGAATGAAGCTTTCTGTGTAGCAATAAAAACCCGTGAGTATTTGCTTCGTCCAGTTACTTGTAGGGGTTTTCAGCTTAGCGGGGACAGGTACCTGGACCCATCCGCTTTCAGGGGACGAGCAGCGCTTTCTGCGCACAGTTTCCGCAAAACAGTGGGCTAGGGGGGGACAGTTATTTCAAGTTAGGGACTCGAGCTCTCAATGAGCCACGTTTCTCACTTTTCACAGAGAGTTCACTGTGTAGGTGTTCAATCACAGATTCCCTACTGCTCTGGCTTGTCGTTTCTACCCAAAATCATTCACGCGGAAGATCGTTTAGCTAGCCCATTTGCGCTAGCGGCGCTAAACGACGACACCGGGAACAATAAGGCAGGGCATAAAAATATAAACCCCTAGGGAACCTTGACGCAATTTTGGGAGGGATCAACCCTAAACACGGGAAAGGACATTGTTTTTAGGGTTGATGCCTCCCCGAGTCGCCCCCTTTCCAATTGGGGTTTAGTTTTTTTTTTCGGGTCAGGGGGTGCAATATATATCCCCACATTTTCTCAGCGTTTCGGGTGCAGTATACAGGTTTGGGAACAGTAGTTTGACGAGCCACCCGGAACGTGGGCTGGATTCGGTAGAAAAGACAAGCAGGCGCAGTGCAGGATCTATGATTGTAGATCTACAGTGAGCGAGCTGCGTAGGATGTAACACGTGGCTCATTGAGAGTTCGAGTACCTAATCTGAACGATAACTGTCCCCCCCTAGCCCAGACTTTTGCGGAAACCGTGCGCAGAAAGCACTCTCCGTCCCCTGAAAGCGGAGGGGTCCAGATACCTGTCCCCGCTAAGCTGAAAACCCTACTTGTAGAGACCATTTTGGGTTTCAGTGTAGTCAATGCTTTTTTAGTACTCTCGTCCGTTGTCCGGACGTTTTAGGGGGTGTCCGAAGTGAACGTCGACGTATGCTACAGTTTCGTCGGGGGATGTCGGCGAATTTCTACACTCGGATCGAGCGTTCCGACCGTCAAGATTCATCGACATTCCCAACAGTATCGTCGAGTTTCGTCGACGTTCACTTCGGACACACCCTTACTGTCGATTTGTACCATACAGCGATTTGTACGTGTGCCTAGCTGTGCGACAGCTCGTCGCCAGCTGGTGATTTTGGCTTACCTCTCACATTCATAAAATCTGATATTGCCGGGGAATTCAGGACCTGTAGACGTGGCTGGATTCTCGAGTGGGAGAAATTGGAGACTCCGAGAAGCCTGAACATCTTCAGACGGAAGTCACCCAATCCACCAAGTGGTTGTGATTGTGAATATTCACCGAGATTTTTGTATGACCAGGTAAGGCAAACTGAATAAATATTTCGACTCACACTCTCGTTGGGTCGCTCTGGAATGCGAATGGACTTGATTTTTACAGACTAATCAGCACTGTTTAGCGGAGAAGCAACAACTCCTCCGCTGCATCATGAAGGTGGTAAATCTAAGCAATCAAGCATGTTAGGGCTGCCAGGGCTGTCCGAAGTCCCTGGGACCAATACTTCGAGTCCTGAGCTGCTCGAATTCTGGCCCTGCTATTCCCGGGCGCAGGCCAAATTCAAAACTTGATATCAGGGCTTCTTAGGAAAGTTATCCTGGCCTTAATGTTACGAAGGAGGATCAACCTATTACTTAGCAGAATACTTAGCAGAAGAAAGTAGCATACTAACAACTATCTACACTCCTACAACCTCTACATCGTGTGCAAAAGCAACATAGGAAAAAATATCGGGAAGGGGGGGTTCGTAGGCAAAAACATTGGGGGGGGGGGTGCTCGTGGGAAAAAAACATCGGGGAAGGCAGAAACTTGGATTCAGGGGAAGGCCCAAATGAGGCCCTTCGACGGGTGCCATGCGAATCTCAACGGTCAAGCTGCTCCAACCGTAGCCCGGAATGTTCAGGGCAAATTCCCTTGCTTCGACAGCCCTGATCGCTGGTAGGGCTGAAACACAGATTCCATTCATGCACAATGGCGCAACATCTCCCCTCCACCCTCCATTTCTACAAATGGAGACAACCAAATGTCAGCCCTTACAGAGTCGCATCGTGTTCTGGTCTGCCTTGAACAGTGGTCCTGACATCAGGGTCCTTGTACCAGTTCACTCCACTGGTCATGTTGGTGCACTGGTATCTGATATTTGTACAGTAAGGATATTTATGTTTCTGCCCAAAACGACCACTTCAAAATAAGGAGGGCATCCAAGGTGCCAGAAGAAAGGGAAAAAAACACACTCAAGAATGCTACTCGGTGCAATTGCATTCAATCGATTCAGTGAACGAATTTGTGTACAATTTCGGCTACAGTAACAGTGTGGTGTGGGCAAGAACGAGAATTCAACTGTGTCATTCAAGTAGACGGAATGAAGGCATAGTGCAGAACGTGTAATAAATAACAACGGGCCCACATGCCCTTTCCAAAATAAGTTCGAACCGCGCTGGTCGGCTAGCACAGAATTTCAGCCAATCCTAGCCACCCTCAGTCTTATTTTAGAGTCCTCAAGTTGCACAGACTGTTCCAATCAAAAAGTAAGTCCTAACCTCTTGTTTCACAGCGAAGGGGAACAATCGAACCCAAGCTTGACGAATTACTAATCTATGCTGCTAGAGCATTATCGAGGAACGTTTTTTTTTCGCAGTGCGGACAAGAAGACTTCGACAGTCGTCGAACGACGCTTAGTAATTTTCGTTCTCCGAGTCGCCTGGCTGAGCCCTTTTTCTGCACTGTTTCCTCTAAAGTACGTCGACCCGGCTGCCTTCGGTTTCACATGATTTTTATGAGTTAACCTTCACTTATAATCAAGGGTGGGCTGTATCTGGGTCAAGTTTGTATCACACGACATGATGCTTCCCTTAATTCGCCCAGCAGTCACCGACGACCCGCTTAGCGTCAAGACCGATGAACGACATGGTTACCACCCCAGGCTCGCAGCTGCTGCGACGACGGCCTCGCACTCTCGCAGCCAATCGGAGTCTGCATTTTCCTTCGGCCAGGACCAATTGGGAGGTCAGAATGCATCGGAATGGGAAAGCGGGAAACGCGGCGGGGGCGGCGGCAGGAACAGCGACGGGGGCGAGACGAGAGGAGGCGCCGTTGAGGCCGCCTGCAGACTCGCTACTACCGCGCATCGCGGCACCTCGCCCACAGCTAAGCTCTTCGTTAACGATTCCGGTGATAATTTCGTGAACGTCGAAAGCCGCCAAGACCAGCTTTCTCCTTTACCGAATTCCCCTAAAACGAGTTCGAGGCCTTCGCATCCGCAATCGCCGATGCCACATCATCGTCGGTACCGGTCGGAAGACGCGTTTTCTTTTCAAGGACCCTCTCCGCGCGCAGCGGCGGGTGGCGGTAACACCAGCAGCACTAGCAGTAGCGCTAGTGGCGACAGCGGGTCGCGCAGCGGCGGCGGCGTGATGACGATGGTGCAGCGAGGAATGCAGCTGCTGAGCACCAATGGCAGACTCCGAGTCGCCGGTCGCGACGCCGGACGAGACGATAATAATAGTAGAACGAGGACTGTTAGTAATGCTAGTACACCTAACACTTTGGATGCTGACAATACTATGCCGTCTGCTAGTGTTCACTCGCCGACAAGCCCTTCCGATAGGCAATACAGCGACAATGGAGAGTCAACAGAAGCCGAATCCGGTCAACAAAAGTCGCAAGGGTCAACGATGTCGCCGACCGGGTCAACGGCGTCGCAAGCGTCGCCGTCCGGGTCAACGCGAATCGCACGGAGCACGGTTGTCCTGTCGGGCGCTGCGGCGGCGGCGCGGAAAAGAGGGTCGAGCCGCGGAGGGTCGATCTGTCAGGAGCTGCTGCCGAGCCTGTGGGAGGAGGAGGACGAGCGCGCGGAAGGAACGGCGGCGGTTGCGGACGATGGCGCGAAATCTCGCGGGGTGGCGGAGACGCCGGCGGAAGATGCGGAGACGCCGGAGGAAGCGGAGGCGGACATTACTGGCGACGGCGGGGACAGATCCGAGTATTATGCGCGGAGGAAAAGCGGAAGTGCGATTCCGCGGAGTCGGGAACGATGGCAGGCGGAGGACGATGCGGGGAGAGTCCCCGCTACCGCCCCCGCCTCCCCCTCCCCCTCCGCCTCCGCCGTTCCGCGTGTTCCGAGCCCCACGGGGCTTCCGCCGCGGCCGATGTCCCCGTCAGAAGCAGACTCGTACAGCTCGTTACAGTCACGTCACGCGCAAATGTCCCCGACTACGTCCCCGCCGAACCACCGCCGCTCGCACAGCAGCGGAACCTTTCTCTGGGGGGGCGGAATGATGGGGGGAGGGCTTGGGCTTCCGCATACGAGCCCGCGAACCAGCGGGTTTGGCTCAGGTGGCGCGGGTTTTGCAGGCAGCGGCGCGCATTTGCCCCCGCTTAGCCCCAGGGCGGGCGGAAAGGGGGGCGGCGGGCCTTGCCCCTTGCCCAGCCCCATTGGGCGGAGCAAAACGACTGGCGGAAGTTCCGCGAGAGTTCCCGTGGGCGGGCTGGTTGCTGACGTGGCAAGCCTCCCCAGAAGCCGTACTACATATGCGGCGATGGGGGAAGGCGGAGGAGGGGGAGCGGGGGGAGGAGGAGGAGGAGCGGGTGGAGGAGGAGGAGGAGCGGGGGGAGGGGGACGTGGGGGGATGGGGAGAGAAGTTCGGGCGGGGGGCGGAGGGGGGAACCCCCCCTCAATGAATCGGGGGAAGGGCACGGGCGGAGGGGGTGGCGGGGTGCCTCGAAGCGCGAGCAGCGGGAACGTGGCGGGAATGGGGCAGAGTGGCGCAAGCATGGGTTTTACCCCCACGATGGGTACGGTGCTTGATGCTGGGATGGGGGGAACAGGGGTGCCTCGCAGCGCGAGCAGCGGGAACGTGGCGGGAATGGGGCAAAGTGGGGCGGGCATGGCGGTGAGCGGTGCGGGCATGGGGTTTACCCCCACCATGGGTACGATGCTTGATCCCGCGCGGGGAAGTGGGGGGGTGCCTAGAAGCGCGAGCAGCGGGAATATGGCGGGGAATATGGGCGGCAGCATGGGCGGCAACATGGGCGGCATGGGCGGCAACATGGGCGGTATGGGGTTCACTCCCACCATGGGCACGGTGCTTGGGAGTGCAGGGGTGCCTCGAAGCGCCAGCAGCGGGAATATGGATGGCATGGGCGGGAATGGCGCAGGGATGAGCGGGAGCGGCGTGGGCATGAGCGGGAGTGGCGGGGGAACAAGGCTCAGTGGATTGCAATTGGGGTCACCTGGTGCGCATAAAGGGGGCGCGCACAGGAGAACAAGCAGCGTTAGCAGCGGTGGCGGTGGTGGTGGTGGTGCTGGTGGTGGCGCTGTGATGCAACAGCAGCACGGGTACAGCCTGAGCAGCCCTGGCAGCAGTGGACTTACCGGGCGACACAGGAGATTGGCCAGTACAAGCTACCACCTTGATTCCACCTCCACGAACCTTCCTGACACCAGTAGGAACCTTCCTGATAGCAGCAGGCCCAAGGGATTCCGGACGCCGAGAATCGTTCTTCCTCACCACGACAGCATCAGCCCTGCCACGTCACCGCCCTCCACCAGCCCACGTGGCAGCAGCAGCAGCAGCCTCGCTCCCGGTGACACGTCACTCAAATCGCCACCCTGCACCAGCCCGCCCAATGCCAGTCCACGTGGCACACCGTCCTCCCCCAGTTACCGCCTCCCTCCCCATAAGTCTCCTGCCGCTGCTGCACATGCCGCCTCGCTTCAAGGCCGAGTGCCCGGACCAGCACAGTTACTAGGAGGCTTTACAGGAGCAGCAGCAGCAGCACCATCCGTACCCACGAGCTTTTCTCGCTCTCCCAGGCACCGAAGCCCCAGTGTGCTCAGCCCGAGCCTGCACAGCCCGAGCCTCCCCAGCCCGAAGCTGAGAAGCCCGCGCCTACCCAGCCCCGGCGTCATCCGAACCGGCAGCTCAAGTCCGGTAGGCATCGCCCCGAGCAACGTAATCGGCTTCTCCTCGCCAACTTACCTCCCTAGTCCAGCTTCCTCGGCGTCTTTAAATGCTAATAGTCCGTACGCGAATTACCCGTATACCCCAGGGGGGGGTAGCGTGGTGCATAGCCCGCAATCCATGGCTGCTCTAGCCGAGAGGGACAAGCAAAAGCTAGCGGAAATTCAGAGCTTCTTTGCTTCGGGATCCGGAGGGCTAGGCTCGGGAAGGCGAGGTTCGGGGCAGTGGGGGGTGGGAGGAACCACACCGCTCCAGTCACCCAGGCCTGGGATCTCCCCCAATACCTCTCCTCCTGTCAATTCACCCTCGAAAGGAGGAGGCGGAGGCGGAGGAGGAGGGAGAGGAGGAAGAGGAGGGGAGAGGGGAGGTATGGGGTTGTTTCTGGGACCCATTCGCACGCCGAGTCCGAGTGAGTATTACCGGCTTGCTTCGCCTGCTGGTGGGTGGATGGGAGGGGCGTGGGGACGAGGGGAGGGAGAGCAGGACGAGGAGGAGGGCGAGGAGGGGGAGGAGGGTGAGGAGGAAGGGGAGGAGGAGGACTGGGGGAGGTACATGGGTGGTGAGGCTTATGAGGTGAATGAGGAAGGGGAGGGAGAGGAGGGGGCAGCTGACACAGCAGGAGCAGCAGGAGGAGCAGCAGAAAAGGCTGTCAGTGGGGAGGATACAGGAGAGAAGACAACAATGGAGAAGAAAAATCGGACTAAAGAAGCTGTCTCAGCAGCAGCAGCAGCGGCAGGTGCAGCGGCAGCAGGTGCAGCGGCAGCAGGTGCAGCACAAGGGAAGGTGGCTGCAACGGCCCCAGTGCAAGGAGCAGCAGGCGAAGCTGCCAGGAAAGAGACAGCAGGAGGCACCCAAGGAGTCAAGCAAGGAAATGCAGATGTAAAAGCGATGGTACAAGGAGCAGAAGGAGGAAAGGCGGACGCAAGAACAGTGGTGCAAGCGGGGGGAGCAAGAGGAGGACAGTCAGACGTGAAAGCGATGGTGCAAGCAGCTCTGGCGGAGTGGCGGAGGAAGGAGGAGGCGGCAATGCAGCAGCAGGCAGCGTCGGTTCTGGGCAGGGGACTTTCGGACGTGCGGAAGGTGTATCAGCTGGGGAAGGAGCTGGGGCGCGGGAACTTTGGGGTGATAAGGGAGGCGGTGGATTGGGTGTCTGGGGAGCGGTTTGCCTGCAAGAGCGTCAACAAGAAACGGCTTGAGGTAAGATGGTGTGGTGTGGAGGTGGCAGGGGATTATCGGACGTGCGGAAGGTGTGTCAGCTGGGAAAGGAGCTGGGGCGGGGCAACTTCGGGGTGATCAGGGAGGCTGTGGATTGGGTGTCTGGGGAGCGACTCGCGTGCAAGAGTGTCAACAAGAAACGACTGGAGGTGAGGGACGAGGGGTTGGCAGGGTTGTAAAAGAGTGGGTGAGGGGATGGGGAGAGGGGAGTGAGGGAGCAGGGAAGTGAGTGCGGGGAGCAGCAAGGCTAAAGAGGGGGAACAAGAGGAGGTGGAAGTGACGCAATTGCTCAAGGGGTGTATGCCAGTACTCCTACCTTTCTTGCCTCTCCTCTCCCTCACCTTCCCTGCTCTCCTCCCTTTGTCCTTTTCCATTCCAGTGCCTGGATGACCTTGAAGATCTGAGGAGGGAGGTGGAGGTGATGCGGTTGCTCAAGGGGTGCTCGATAAGGCCAAGCCCCTCAACCGTCTCTTCTTTTCTTCCCCTTCTCCTCCCCTTGCTGCCTCTGCCAGTGCCTGGATGACCTTGAAGATCTGAGGAGGGAGGTGGAGGTGATGCGGTTGCTCAAGGGGTGCTCGATAAGGCCAAGCCCCTCAACCGTCTCTTCTTTTCTTCCCCTTCTCCTCCCCTTGCTGCCTCTGCCAGTGCCTGGATGACCTTGAAGATCTGAGGAGGGAGGTGGAGGTGATGCGGTTGCTCAAGGGGTGCTCGATAAGGCCAAGCCCCTCAACCGTCTCTTCTTTTCTTCCCCTTCTCCTCCCCTTGCTGCCTCTGCCAGTGCCTGGATGACCTTGAAGATCTGAGGAGGGAGGTGGAGGTGATGCGGTTGCTCAAGGGGTGCTCGATAAGGCCAAGCCCCTCAACCGTCTCTTCTTTTCTTCCCCTTCTCCTCCCCTTGCTGCCTCTGCCAGTGCCTGGATGACCTTGAAGATCTGAGGAGGGAGGTGGAGGTGATGCGGTTGCTCAAGGGGTGCTCGATAAGGCCAAGCCCCTCAACCGTCTCTTCTTTTCTTCCCCTTCTCCTCCCCTTGCTGCCTCTGCCAGTGCCTGGATGACCTTGAAGATCTGAGGAGGGAGGTGGAGGTGATGCGGTTGCTCAAGGGGTGCTCGATAAGGCCAAGCCCCTCAACCGTCTCTTCTTTTCTTCCCCTTCTCCTCCCCTTGCTGCATCTGCCAGTGCCTGGATGACCTTGAAGATCTGAGGAGGGAGGTGGAGGTGATGCGGTTGCTCAAGGGGTGCTCGATAAGGCCAAGCCCCTCAACCGTCTCTTCTTTTCTTCCCCTTCTCCTCCCCTTGCTGCCTCTGCCAGTGCCTGGATGACCTTGAAGATCTGAGGAGGGAGGTGGAGGTGATGCGGTTGCTCAAGGGGTGCTCGATAAGGCCAAGCCCCTCAACCGTCTCTTCTTTTCTTCCCCTTCTCCTCCCCTTGCTGCCTCTGCCAGTGCCTGGATGACCTTGAAGATCTGAGGAGGGAGGTGGAGGTGATGCGGTTGCTCAAGGGGTGCTCGATAAGGCCAAGCCCCTCAACCGTCTCTTCTTTTCTCCCCCTTCTCCTCCCCTTGCTGCCTCTGCCAGTGCCTGGATGACCTTGAAGATCTGAGGAGGGAGGTGGAGGTGATGCGGTTGCTCAAGGGGTGCTCGATAAGGCCAAGCCCCTCAACCGTCTCTTCTTTTCTTCCCCTTCTCCTCCCCTTGCTGCCTCTGCCAGTGCCTGGATGACCTTGAAGATCTGAGGAGGGAGGTTGAGGTGATGCGGTTGCTGAAAGGCCATCCCAACATTGTGTCGCTCGTGGATACCTATGAAGATGACATGGTGAGTTGACACTGGAGATGACACGGTGAGTTGACACAGGAAGATGACACGGTGAGTTGACACAGGAAGATGACACGGTGAGTTGACACAGGAAGATGACACGGTGAGTTGACACAGGAAGATGACACGGTGAGTTGACACAGGAAGATGACACGGTGAGTTGACACAGGAAGATGACACGGTGAGTTGACACAGGAAGATGACACCGTGTGGTGAACGGACAACATAGCTACCCAAAGCCCCTCATCTCATGTTGAGGTGGCGCTTTATCAACAAGCACCACCTCATCTCGCGACTGCAACCCTTGTTTTGAGACGTCTCAAAACTCAACTGCACCCCTTGTACTGATCACCCCTGTGTGCGCATGAAACTTGAAAACACTGGTGGAGCTGTGCGAGGGCCGAGAGCTCTCATCGCATCAATTGCTTGAGCACAACTTGAAAAAACCTGGCTCATGTCTCGCTCACAACCCCCCCCCCCCTGCCTTTCCTCTCAGGACGTGCACATGGTGATGGAGCTGTGCAAGGGGGGAGAGCTCTTTGACCGCATTGATTGTTCGACAACAACTTGCAAACACCCTCCCTTTTCTCTCCCCCCCACCCCCTCCCCCCCCTTCAGGACGTGCACATTGTGGTGGAGCTGTGCGAGGATGGGGAGATCTTCTCCACTTGTGAACCCACCCCTCCTTCTCTTGTCCGCTCACCCCTACCCCACCCCCCTCCTCCCCCCCCCCCTCAGGACGTGCACATAGTGATAGAGCTGTGCGAGGGTGGAGAGCTCTTAGACCGCATTGACTGATTGATTAAACGCCTCTTGTGAGCTCTTCCCCGCCCCGGCCCCTCCTCCCCCTTTCCACCCTTCCCATCTTTCCAGGACGTGCACATAGTAATGGAGCTGTGCGAGGGCGGAGAGCTCTTCGACGGTATTGTCGCATGCAACCACTTGCAAACCCTGCCTCCCTTTACTTGCCCGCCTACCTACACCCACCAACTTTATCCCCCCTTCCCCTCTGCCCCACCCCAGGACGTGCACATAGTGATGGAGCTGTGCGAGGGAGGAGAGCTCTTTGATCGCATCGTCGCACGCAACCACTTCAGCGAGCGGCAAGCGGCACAGGTGGGTCTTACGGGGCCTATATCTTGAGTGATTAGACTCAATATGCCACATCGGTACACCCAGTGCATACTGGTAAGATTTGAGACGGCTCGCCCTAACTCTGAAACGTATCATACACTTACGAGACCTGCGTAAGCCTGCGTACTTTTGAGACGTCTCAAGCGCCCGCTACTGCTTTTTCTTTGAAAACTTCCCTGAAAACCCCCACAGGTGTGCCGCACTCTGGCCGACGTGCTCCGCTACTGCCACTCCCATCGCATCCTGCGCCGCGCTGACATCTGAGTTGCCACCTCCTGATTCAACTACACATCTTAAAACTCACTCCATGCTGCGCTGTGCGGTGCTGTTCTGTTCCATGCAGGTGTGCCGCACCCTGGCCGATGTTCTTCGCTACTGCCACTCCCACCACATTCTCCACCGCGACTTAAAGCCCGAGAACGTGCTGCTCGTCTCCACGCGCAGCGACACGCGCGTGAAGGTGATCGATTTCGGCATGGCCTACCGCTTTCAGGAAGGCGAGCGCTGCACGCAGCGCGCCGGCACTCCCAACTACATCTCCCCGGAGGTTATCGCAAAGAATTACGGGACCGAGGCGGACGTGTGGAGCTTAGGAGTGATTCTGTATGTCATGCTGTGCGGGCTGCCGCCGTTCTGGGGCGATTCGACGGAGGAGATCTTCTCGAGTATTCTGTACGAGCCGTTGGATCTGGAGACCGAGCCTTGGCCGGACGTGTCTGCCGCTGCTAAGGACTTGGTTCGGCGGATGCTGTGCCGGAGGTTCGACGAGCGGATCACGGTGCCGGAGATACTGAGTGAGTTGGCGTCTGGGGGGCTGATTGGAGGGTTGCTTGCGTTGCTGCTCACTCCCCTTTGTGCTGTACGGTGCTGTGTCGGAGGTTCGACAGGCGGAACACGGTCCCCGAGACACTGAGTGAGTCGTTGTTGGTGTGCGGGCTGTTAGTAAACGCTGCTTGCTTGCTTGCTTGCTCTATCCCATCAATAAGCACTCCCACTGTATTGTGCTGTGCTGTGAGGTACGGTACTGTACCGACATGTGCCGTGTGCTGTGCCGGAGATACTGAGTGAGTCGTTGTTGGTGTGCGGGCTTGTGATGCTGCTTGCTTGCTTGCTCTATCTCATGAATCAGCATCCCCACTGTATTGTGCTGTGCTTCGTTTGGCTTGGCTTCCCCCCTTCAACCTCCTCCCTCCCTATTCCTTCCCCGTGTCCCTCACCTCGTCCTTTCTGCTTTCCGCATGTCCCAACCGTGCAACTGCATGGACAACTTCGTCATTGCGAACTAATTGATGCAACAGAGCATCCATGGATTAAAGCTCTCACATAAGTATTTTTGGGCCCTCACACAAGTTTTTGGACGAACAAAGGTTACTGTATTGGACAATCTTGGTGGTAACGGTCCAGTTGATTCTAGGAGGTTTCATACCCAGAATAACATAGATTATATGAACCTTATTGTGCATTATTTGAGGCAGGTGAGTTCAGAATGCTGTGCTTTCCTTGTCCTGATTCCAAGATGACTTGGTATCTGCACAGCAGAGTCTATATAAATTTTAGTTCTGTTAGTAGGTATGTCCTTCATTTGACAAATTACATTTTTTTTTCCCTCACTGAGAATATGGTTAACTAGTCATACGGTACCTTATAAAACCCAGCCAAAATACGCACATCAAATGTCCCATTCTATTGGCTGCTGTGTTCCAAGGATCTCTGGCAATGATTAGATTTGTGATGTGGAGCGCCCTGGCATTTGATGCCCCAGTTCTGTTGAAACAAGCTGATACACGTACACAGCTTCAGACAACACAGCATTTGATGCTTTGAAGAACAAAATTCCAACCCTACCCGACCGATTAAATTTGGATATGACCGTTGTCAATCGTAGACTATCGCGGCCGCGTTCAAGCTTGGTTCAGTAGGAATGTGCGAAGAGTGTCCACTCCTTTATTCGTGTGATTTACGACACTGTAGTTGGATGGTACGAAAAGCCCACTCGTCCGAGTTGGCACATACGTACATACGTGCTCGTCCAGTTCAACAAAGCGATCTGCAGTGCATTGCACCCGTGACTTTACTGCTGCCCGTGAAACGAAACATGGGAGGCAAGTTTCGCGGTAAACCCAAAAGCTTTCTAGCTTTGCTGGCTAGTAATCAGCATATCAATGCATCTGTTTCACCACATACAGTGGCAGAAGAACAAATCCAGACTGTACAGTACATGGAACGTCAGCCCTTTAGTCCCAAAAGGGTCACAGAAATAAGGGGCGGATTCATTCCTCGAATACGAGGTGTCCCGTTTGTGGTTGTGCTTCTGCCAATCGTCTGTGTTTGTGGCACATTGTTCCCAGAGCTCATTCTGAGGGCGCGTTCTTGGCTGGTGTCAAGAATCTTGACACCAAGCTCTCAAAGGTTGGGATTTTAGTAGATTTTGACGATGATGACTTGGAATGATCGAAATCGTCCATTAGCCTTGTGTCAGCAAGCCTGACACCAGCCAAGAACGCGCCCTGAGGCGGAATGGTTGAGAGGATGAAGCAGAGAGCGCAATGGTTGAGAGGGTGAAGTTGAGACTGTAAAAACGTTATGAACCGCACTAACGAACCCGAACCACATCATGCAGCCACTCTGAAACGTGATTTGCGAATGCTGCGGGAGTGAAGCAGCCTGCCCACTGACAGCCAGCAGCAGTTTCAGTTTGACCCGAGTGACTGGACTCTCAGGAAGGCCAACACAAGCTTGCAGCATGAACGACTGTACAGTTTCTACAGTCCCATCAACTGCGCTACTTCCTTCTAGGTGCCGCCGAGTCCCCGCACAAAACACACACCGTCACTTCGACACTGCTGCATGTAACTTGGTAGTATCAAGCTAATATTACAAGGCGCCCTTGCACTATCGGTACTGATAGAGCAGGGTTTGTCACATTCAACATTTCGGATAAGAGCTGCTTCTTACTAACGTGTCACATCCTCACGTCTCCGTGCTTGCTCGATAGCTATGCGACGACGCAACGTGCACCGCAGAAGGGTTGAACGATAGCAAGGTGACTTCCGAGACGACTCAAAATGCAAGTTTGAACGATAGCTTTCGAAAAAGGCTAAGCATACGTTATCAGCTATGTATAGGGGGGTCGAGGAGGATCAGCTGGCAATACTCGTGGAGTCACGCGATGGCGACGGCGCTGCACTACAGACAACAACCGTTGTCGCTGGCGAGAATATAAGCGACGTCGCAGGCAGGCCGCACGCCGACGCTGACGACGGAGTCGCATGGGAAGGTGGAATGTCTGGCGACGCGCGCGATCGGCGAAGTTCACGGCACGATTCCGGCAATGATGGCACGTCAGCAGACAGTGACGTGGAACGGAACGGAGTGCTGCACGATACCAACAGCCTATCGTCAATGCTCTCCGGTCGAGGCAGCAAAGTCGCAGGCGACGCCAGCGACGACGGCGACGGCGGCGACGGCGAGGGCGACGGCGTCGGAGAGGACGCGGACTTTAAAGAAAAAGACATTGAGGCGCCTATCCGCGTGCGACGCGTGGATTTCGACGCGGACAGCGAGAACCATTACGTGATCGTGATCCACGGGACGTTCGACGCGCCGCCGCCGGACGGCGCGCCGACGTGGTACCAACCGCCGCCTCCCGGCGAGCAGAACTTTTGCCGGAAGCTCAGCCGTCTTCTCGCGCTGGGACCCATCGGGGAGGACGCCATCTGGCGCGACCTGCCGTGCTCCGCGCTCCCGGGAATCCCGTACCCGTTCCACTGGGACGGCACCAACACGCACGCGGGCCGCGTAACCGCCGCGATGAAGGTGAGCAAAGGGAACGAGAAGGAAGGTGAGCGAAGGAGCGGGAGGGGTTTGCCAGAGAGTCGCCAGAGAGTCGCAAGAATCGCCAGAAAGTCGTCAGTCGCCAGAGCGTCGCCATGGAGTCCAAAAGGCCGAAACTCTCTTTGGTATCTATGGCCGAAATTTGCGGTCAGGTGTGTGGGAGGAGCCGCGGCCGCATCGGGTGTGGTAACGAGTGGTGGCGACAAGCGTGCGCGACTCACCATGCGAAAGACTATGACCTATATTGAACCGTGTGTAAGTTTTACTCCCCACTCGGCGCGGCCTCCTTCGTTATCATTTCCCCGTATCGCCCGTCAGTAAAGCAACAGCAACCCTATATTGGTGTTGTCGAAAATGTGATTTTTTTCCCCCTGCCATGGAGTCGCTCTGCTTCGCAAGTCCCGCGCCCATCTTCCGCTAGGTTTGTGGCGAAAGCTGCAAGGGGGGGGGAGAAAGAAGACTTCTACTGGGCTACCTCGTTCTATCTCTGTTAGTCGCTGTTCAAGGGTAACTGGAACCTTTCGGTAAAAAATACGTTTATACTGTGTTGCGTTGGCAGGCACAACCTCTCCCATTACTTCGCTCTTGGAATCTTTGTTCCCCGCAAACCCTGTCAAAAGCACCTGTTCTATCCAGTTTTTTTCCAAATTTATTTCTTCGTTGTTTTGTTCTTGTTTACCCCCACCCAACTCCTCCCGCAGCTGCACAATCTGGTCGACCAAATCGCTCAGAATGACCCTGCAGCTCGGATCCACCTGGTGGCGCATTCTCACGGCGGCAATGTGATGCTCAAGACGATCGAACTGGTAAGTGAAAGCGAGATCTTCAGTGCATCACGCTCAGACTCACATGATTCCGGTTCAGGGTTCAATTTAAACCACATCAACGCTTTACTTCCCTTGTTATTCACTCTGCTCTTCCTTCCCCCCATTCTTTCCTGCCCCTGCCATTTTGCTCCCCCCTCCTCCCCCCCCGACCCCCTTCCCCCTCCCCCTCCCCCTCCACTTCCGCCCACCCCCTCTTCCCACCAACAGTACATGGCGAAGCTAGGGCGGCGGCAGAAGGGCGAGTGGCACCCGGCGGTGGAGAAGCGGTTTTGGGCGTCGCACAAGCGGAGCTACGAGCTGATCAAGAAGTGGCGCCGCATCGACATGAGCAATTCTTGGTGGCGCTTCTTCCCCTTCCTCGTCGTGTACCGAGGGTGAGTTTTTCTCGAGGGTTTGTTTTTTTCCGAGGCTAGTTGTGTTCCTAGGTTAGTTGTGTTCAGGGTTAGTTTTGTTCTGTGGGTTGTATTCCGAGAGTGAGGTGTGTGATCCGAGGGTGGGAGGGAGTCAGTTATGAGGAAGGTAAGAGGGAGGGAGGAGAAAGTGCGCGAATGTTTTAAATCAAAGAGGAAATATTTTGTTTTTCTACGTAAAGAATTCTTTCAATAAACAAATGTTGCATTCGTTCATTAAAAAAGAGCATGAAAATGGTGGAGTGGAGTACGCGTGGTTGGGGGCGAAAAGCGGTTGACATACCGTGCTTGGTCGCAAGCTGTAATTGGAAAGACATCCAAATTGGACTTATGTGATATTTGAGCAATCAACAAGAGTGGAGTGGATTAAGACACCAACACAAAGTACACAGAAAATGAAAAACATAGAGTGGGGCCAACCACCTATATCTCTCTCGCCCCCACCGGCTACAGTTTCAATGGACAGAAAACCACGGGAGTGAAAGAGAGCTACCCGTGGGCGCACCAGCAGTGGCTGGACTCACTGCTGCGGCTGCCAGCAGTGCGGCAGCGGCGCTTCCTGGCGTTCCGCCACGCCACCTCGCCCATCACCAACGCCCTCGGCGCCCTCGTCTTCCTCGGCACGCCCTTCTACATCAAAAAGTGGCAGAGCAACGGGCTGCTGTGGTTTGCGTTGTCCTTGCTGTTCTCGGTGGCGCTGATGTATGTCTTCATCATCGCCTACACGTCCTTCATCCAGTTTATCGTTCTGCTCATCGCCGGCCGGCTTGACGCGTAAGTGGTTGGGTGCGGTCCTGGTTGGATTGGGTGCAGTGCTGTTTGTAGTGGTTGTCAGTGGTGTG